CTCTCTCAGCGTCAGCGCCTTAATGTGGCCCTAACCCGTGCTCGTCGTTCCTGCTATATTGTGGCCAGTCTAAGTTCTCTTGCAAAGAATGATGATTGGAAATCACTGATCCAGAATGCCCACGACCGCAACGTTGTAAAAACCATCACTCAAGCAGAAGAGAATGACAGAGCACACATCCGAAAGCTTGTCCAGAAATGAGGTACATGCCTGTGCACATGTGGCAGTGTGTACTGGTCCTTTACTACAGCTCTTTATTTACATTCTTCTAGTGTGCTGTACATTGTGATTGGCATTTTAAAGTAAAGAAGTTATGCTGTGCCTTTTGTATGGAGTGAGCCTGATTTCATCACATGCAGCAGTTTAAAAAGGAAAAGAGAAGCAAGCCAGTCTTCAGTAAAAACGAAGGTAATAGGCATAAACAATAGACATTTCAAGTTTTAAGCTTGATCCAAGAGATTCTTGGAAAGATTTAGTAAAGCTGTGATGAGGTGTTATCTCTATGAAATCCATATTGAAATATCAACATTGAGGAAAGCACAGTGCTATGAAGGAGCTTTTTTTATGATAGAAATACCTTCAACATGAAGTTATGTGAATGTACTATGTGATTGTATATTTTTTTACATTTTCATCTTTTAGTACACTTCTTGTTACGAATTGCCATAGTTTCTCTAAAAGTGTTTCAAGAGAATAAACAGCAGCACTTAGCTTTTTAAAGACACTATTTGTCACCTGAAAAGCCCTTTCTTTGTTGATGTCATATATTAAGAGAAAAATTTTTGTTTTATTTTATATATTACAGATTTTAAGATTTAGCTATTAACTTTCTTTTTTTTTCATTATTTGTTTCTCCCCTTAAGAAGAGGGCCTATAGAAGATACCAAGATCACTGTAAAGCATATATGAGAGATAGGAATAGGTTTTGTCCTTTTTATGAGACTCAAAATGTTTTATTGACTGATTTCCCCTTATTTTTTGTATAATGTAAATGTGTTCTGATACTAAGAATGAAGCATTATCAGAGCAAAATACTTCATTGTAGCCATGAAATGAAGTTAACTTAAGACTGATTCTGTGGAATGAAAGGATTCTAGAATTACATTTTTTAGGATGCTTAAATGTGATATTGAAATAGGAAGCTTTATTGTTCACTTGATGATATTAGTAAGTTTATTTTTGAAGCTATATTTTTCATCGTTATACAATGGACATTGGACATACACTATATTATATGCTTTGCAAAGCTAGATGGACTACTTACTTCAATGATAAATGTAAGTATATCATGTCTCTTATGCAAAACAATGTTCTGAGTCATATTGAATGCCTGTATTATTGTTTCATGTACTGCACTTTCTATAGTTATTTTAATGTGAACTTTCCCTACTTTAAAATAAAAGGTTTAGTATAGAACAGTGTATGCTTCAATTCACGAGTAGCAGCTTCTGTTCTTGCATACAATATGGATCTTCAGAGTTGCAACTTTATTTCTGTATTAATAATTCTTTTAATAATATTACTAACGAGTGCATTATGGCTCCCGAATGCAGTAAAACCAGAGTGGGTTAAAGCAGCAACATGAAATAAAGGCCAATTTGAAAGTGAAATAAAAGGTGAAAAATCCAGTGAGCAGTGTATGACAGAATTTACAAAATAAATATAAGCTAGAAAAGTTGTACTTGTCTTTTTTATACTGTTCATATTGTCATAAAAATATTTTTTGCGCATATCAGACATGACATTTAGTGTAGTTGTTATTTATTCAGACAAAATGTGTGAATAAAAAAAATGCTGTAAACAACATTATTGTAAATAAAATCAACACAGTTCATTTCGATGTTGGAAAATATTGTACAGTGACTTGGAGCCCTTTATTAACCTTTTATTAAGGCCATAGAATGCTGGAAAAGATATGTATCATTTTGATTGTTTACCTCAGAGTTCATAAAGTAAAAGTAATATGTACTCTTTGCTGTAACGATCAGTAAAAAAGAAAAAAAGAAAAAAAGAAAGAAAAAAAGTACCTATTTTAGATACTAAAATCTGCAAAAAAGGCATTGCCCCCAAGAAAAAAAAAACAATGTGATATCTCAGTATTTTAGTTATGGTAATTTATTAAAAAAAAAAAAAAAAAAAAAAAAAAGTATTACATTCCCTTTGTTTAAAAAATACAAACTAATCTATGGTTGGCTTCAGTTCTCTGTAGGTTGTATATTACAGTTTATTTGTGTATGTATGAAAACCAATGGGACTGTAAAAGAGTATGTGAGGGAATGTGGTAGCATAGAATGAAAAATGTATCATCTAGTTGACTTCCATAGTTGGGAAAAGCAAGTCCTCTTTTTCCCAGGATGACATCACTAAGTAAAGGTTCTTTAACCCACAGATGCTGGGTACATAGGCTGTTCATTGTAGTTTTGTTTCCTAAAATTTGTTAACACAGAGGCTTCGCAAGTACTTACTTGCCAACGAGTCAATTACTAGGCTTACCTCACCTCTTTACCCTACTCCTGTAATTTTTGTGATTGAAAGTGTTTATTCCTTATAATGTTATTATTGTTATTAATGATATAATCATTATTACTGTATCATTATTGTTATTATGATGTTATTACAAAAATAAAAAATAAATGAAAAAAATAAAATAAAAACTTTTCTACAAAAATTAAAGATATAGGGTAAGAGGTAACATTAGGTAGGAATGATAATTAACTAAAATCACAGTGGACAGGACAAGTATACATGCTCTCCTGGCACCAAAGAGCTTTAAAATAAATTCCTATTAGTCATATGATGATGATGCACTTGATTAGATACATGTGTGCATGGCTCCAAATGTAAGCAGTTGTTGAGAGAGCAGTTTACCTAAAGGTGCTTTTTTCCCCCCTCAACTTAAAATGTTGATACCACAACCTATTATACAGATTTACTTAGATCCTCTTTTGTTTTTTACACAAAAATAAGTACCACTAATGGTGGTCTTGGTCAGTGAAATTCCTTTCCCTTCTGCCTTTGGTTATATATTGTATTCTTTGTGTATTTCCCAAAGTTACTGGCTATCTTAGGAAGTACTTTCAACTGGAAATTAAAATAAAACAGTTAATGCTCAAACTAATGTTTTTTTTCATTACCAGACTAAAAGTGTTATAAGCAGGGGCGCTTGGCAAGAATTCTTGCCAAGCGCTGTACCGTTCCCTGCTGCCTGCCTGCCTGCTCTGCAGGCAGGCTCTCTTCAGTGATGCCAGACATGTGGAAATGTCTTTTTATAAAGTACAAATCATAACAGTCCTTGATGAGCATAGAAATATCAAAATAACACACGAAATATACATACTTGGGTTTTAAAAGCAATATTCCCACCAACAATCTCGGAAAGAGATAACTTATGCACAAGTCGAGGGTGGAGTTTATTTCACTGGCGGTTGGTAACAGTTTGAGCGCGCAATTCAAAACAACTGACAAGCTAACGCCGCTCAAGATGGCAGGGAAGTAAATAAATCTACCCAAACATCTTAACAAAGCGCTATATTTTTTCCTATATTCATATAAAGTGCCTCTAAAATAATGACACTCTTCAGATTGACAGCCCTTTCATTCTGACGCGTTATCAAAACAAATGAATATCCCTGAATTAAAATATAGGCCTACTCATTCCCATATATCCGATTTTATAAGGTTAAATATAACAAATCATCGAATATAATATCAACAGAAGAATGCTGCTAGAATTTCTCAGACTTTTTCACTTTATTCCATAAAACAGCAGATATATTCTCGTTTAGAAAGGCGAGAAGTTTAACAATAAGGAAATTGTTCGTCTTATAATCATTTATTATTCATAAGTAAAACTTTTTATTCCCATAATCTCCATTATCTCCTTTCGTTTTCAGTTAATTTCAATTTCTTTGAATATGATTTTAAGAAAATTACAGAATCAGATACCGTGAAAAAATTATTTATCTGATAAGATATTAAGCGGAGTTCCTGGCCAACGCCCGCATTCGAAGGATCGTGACCAGTACGGTACGCGACCGACGCCGTTGCCATGGTGACGGTACACCGCTTGACTTAGCAAGCGCAAGTCAAGCCATCTACGGAGGTCGCTTGAGAAAGCAAGCGAAATGCTTGAGTTAGCAAGAAAAACGCTTGAGATTTCAGGCAAGAACTTTCCCTGCTTAAAAAACTTTAAGTACTTTCTGATTGAGACATATTTTTCAAGATATAATTTGAAAATAATACTAATACAAATTTTTACTAATCATTAAATTATTACATACAATTGCACTTAACTGTCGAAGAAATGGGAACATGCAATCAATTTGCTAGTAATCATAAATGTAAGTATTTTAAGTATAGACAACTGTAAATTTAGAACAAAAGAAAAAAAATCAAATTAAATATTTCAATGAATTTACCTCAACACAAAATAATTTGATAATTTATTTTATCATTAATTCATTATAGGTAAACCAGCCTTAAACCAACACTTTTTAACTTTTACCAAAAATATGTGTATAGTAAGCATAAGTATCTCATAATAAAGGACAAGTCTGACTGTTTTACAATTGGAAATATGGTAATTAATTTGCCAATGGCATTCAATTAAATGTGCAAGATGACCAACCTGACTAAGACTGCATCTGCACTGGCAAAGAGCATATGATGACAGTTAACTGAATATTTTGTTTTTATTGAGTAAACTAAGTAAGCTGTACTTATCAATAACCCTTTAAATGTTGTCCCTAAATAAATGCATGAACCATGAAGTCCAGTCCAGCAAGAAAAGCTGACTGTTAAATCTTCCTAGACTGGCGTAAGTTTGCACATTGTCAGTGTAGATATGCCTATGTGCTATAAAACTCACATCTACCTGCTTGTGCCAATTTGCTACCAGTGTGGGCAAAACCAGACACAATCATATTACTGAATAACAAAATGCAGTCCCCTCATCAGGCTCTACAGCTATTTGCAGTCAACACCAACTGCCTCGGAGACGGATTTGAAGCCATCTCTTCTGGAATGGCAAATTCAAATGTGTTAAGTAATTCATAATTAATTATTATTAATCAATGACACTATCAATTATTCTTTGATAATGATTCACACTGCCAAATACCCCAAAATAGAGAGAGAGAGAGAGAGAGAGAGAGAGAGAGAGAGAGAGAGAGAGAGAAGAGAGAGAGAGAGAAGGAGAGAGAGAGAGAGAGAGAGAGAGAGAGAGAGAGAGAGAGAAGAGAGAGAGAAAGAGAGAGAGAGAAGAGAAGAGAGAGAGAGAGAAAAGAGAGAGAGGAGAGAGAGAAGAGAGAGAGAGAGAGAGAGAGAGAGAGAGAGAGAGAGAGAAGAGAGAGAGAGAGAGAGAGAGAAAGAGAGAGAGAGAAAGAGAGAGAGAGAGAGAAAGAGAGAGAAAAAGAGAGAGAGAGGGAGAGAAAGATGAAGGAGAGGAGAGAAGAGAGAGAGAGAAAGGAGAAGAGAGGAGAGAGAATTAGAAGAGAAGAGAGAGA